AGGTCATTTTCTAAACCATGACCAATCAAAATAGTTTTAGAATTGAATAATTTTAGCAAAACTTCATGCACATCTTCAAGAGTGGTGTTAACATTTATCAAATCATCTTCTGTAATTCCACTGAAACTAGTATTATAATCAATTACAGGATTTTCGGGTAAAACCAGTGTGTTATAAATTATTTCACCATTAGACTGTACAACACTTATTTTTGCAATTTCGAGTCCTTGAATAGTAAAACACATTTCACAATCTAATGCAAAAATCCCATAATTTTCTATATTCTCTGAAAGTGATTTTGTTTTTACAAATTTATCGAGATTGTGTGTTACTTGATTACTGACATGATATTTACTCGTCATACAGCCTTTACTGTTTGTTTCACGATTACAACAAGAATATAAATATTTGGAGCAATTAGAATTTATTATTTCAGTTTTTTTCTTTTTTCCCCAATGATAAAAACAATCCTTTTCTGCAAAACAGCTTCCATCTGACTTTAAATAAAACTCTGTTTCGCAACGACAGCAAATTTGTTGGTTTGGATTTACATCATTGTTGTTATGAAACTTATTTTCTTTCAGTATTAATGCTTTGCTTGGTTCATTTGGATTTTCTACAGGAAACCCATATTCCATTTGTTCCTCTCTACTTAATATATATTGTTTCATTTTTTGATATAATTGTTCTTCACTGTATGCTAATTTTTTATACCACTTTGAAGGAACATGAAACCTTGTTAATTCAAAATCATATTTCTTCTTGTTCTTTAGACTATTCTGATCTTCTTGAAATTTCTTTTCAATGATCAAAATGCTTCCACCTCCAGAGAATAAAAGCAAAGAGATTATAGTCAAATACAATCAATAGATGGCTTCCATTCATAATATTAGACTAGTTTTTATAGTAAAAATATTACAAATTTACAATTTTTCAATATCAACACTAAACTATTCTTTTAAATTTTAATAACTAATTATCAAAACTAATATTTATATCTTATTGTTTCATATAAAAATACTTAACTTTAAAATAACTATTGTATTTAGAATATTTAAAACTAACTATATGGCAAGTTTAACACTACTAAGAAACACTAAATTAATAAAAATACATAACTCATTCAGCTGTTAAATTGAGGATAACAACTTTCTTTTTTTTTTTTTTACAGACTGAAACTTTATATAGTCAAAAACATTTCAATCAGTAAAAGGAAAGTTAGTAGTCTCAATTTAGCAGCTGAATGAGTTATTTTATTGTGTAAATATGATGCCAACTTTTTGAAATATATTAATAAAACAACAAGTTAATTATTAGGAACAAGTGATATAAACAATGATGTGTAACTGCTTAAAACTAGCTAGGTAGTGTTGTTACCACTTAATTGCAGTTCTTTTATTTAATTACCAGTAATTCATTAGAACAAATGTAAGCTCTCTGAATTTCCTCTTCAAGTCTATTTTCATAAAAATGTAAACAGAGATACCTAGCATTACCTAGGTAAAAACTAATAAGGACAAACATTAAAACTAAAATTATATTAAAAGTTTGATTATTTTAGCCTAGGCAGCACCAGAATATATCTGCAAGTATTATATGAGCCATTCACAGGCCAAATCAATTAACTCCATTTGTAAATCCTAAATATAATTATTATTATTTTCAAATTTTTTGCATAACTAATTTTATATAATAACACATTCTACAATGTTTATTTAAATTTAAAGTTTAAAAGGAATTTTTAAAAATAATTTATATTCTCAATTTTTATACTTTTTGTTTTGTGGAGTTAATCGATATGGCGAGTGGCTCATATACTGAATTCCTAACTTTATTAAAATTTGTTACTCAGTTCAAATTCACTAAATAGTCAAGAAAACACCAGATATTTGTAGTAAGATGTAAAACAAAATTTTATATTTTATGAATCATTGTAAATGAAATAGCCATTTTTTAAATATAAACTTCCTGGCCTTGGGCCTTGTACTTCAACTTTTTTCAATGTGAACAGTGCTGTATGTTTGCTATAGAAAGAGCACACACAATATATGAATTTAAAAATGTAATCTCATTTATATTGTGAGTTCCACATATTTAAGAGTATTTTTTCTGACAACACAGAAAAAAAGAAATTGAATAATTTTCTTTTTTGAGTATAAGTAGGGGCATAATTCAGCCAAAGCAATCCAAAATAACAATAAAACTTTTGGTGAAGGTTCTGTGAGTGAACAGGCCACCAGGCATTGGTTCAAAAAATTTCATTCCAGGAATAAAAATTTCAACAAACAATTATTTATTGTGGCATTGTCACAATGCCAGGCAGCAATTTTTAATCATACAATAGTGTATCGTTTATCTGAATCAATTGGGGACTGGGGTTGTTCGGATAACTTATTTTTCAAATAACTGAATATGTACGAAAAAATATTAACCTATTCCATGTTGAAATTTTCCACCGTTGCATGTCACTTTGCGTTGAATTTTTGTCAATGTTAAACCTAACAAAAATTTTTATAATAATAATCGTGGCTATTGTATCGTTAAAAATTATTTCTTTNGAAAAATATAAAAACAAAAAAATATATACTTTAGAAGTTGATCTAGTATCAAAAACGTTCAATTCAGCACGATACACAGTCCTCAGAAAAACACCACACAAAAGTGCCAGTGCTGCCAGCTAAAACACACACACCAACAAAAACATATTGGAGTAGCCCAAGATATAGCCAAATATTGCAGTGCCACAGAACTAGTGAAAATTTAAACTTGCCGACTGGAATGCTTTCGGATAAACAACGCTCTACTGTAATTTCTTTAGTTATTAACTTAAATCAGATATTAAGGAAGTGGAGAATATTGAAAACTTAATGCAAAATTTCATAATAATTAAAAATGACAAACAATAAAGCAATTTGAATTGTAGGTTAAGTAAAGCTTATATTCTAAATTATATATAGAAATCTCATTCATAGNTATTGAAAAATATATAAACAAAAAAAAATTATACTTTAAAGTTAATCTAGTATCAAAAACATTCAATTCAGCACGATACACAGTCCTCAGAAAAACACTACACAAAAGTGCCAGTACTGCCAGCTAAAACACACACACCAACAAAAAAAATATTGGAGTAGCCTAAGACATAGCCAAAGGTTGCAGCGCCACAGCACTAGCAGAAATTTAAATTTGCCAACTGGAATGCTTTCGGTTAACCGGCTTTCAGATAAACAACACTACTGTATTTTTAAATTATTTAATTTAAAATATATGCTCTCCATCTGAAATTAGTACTGTATTGTCTTGCTCCATACATCATATTTTTCCTTTAACAATAGAGCTCTGCCAATCATCTAACAAATACCTTTCAGGGAAAATTTTTGAATTGAAATAACAATTTCCAGTTTGCTTCGAAGTTCACATATAATTAATCAGAGCCTCTTGCCCTTAAGTCTTCCATATCTGGTCTCATCTTTCATGTACAGTACCTAACTCCATTCTCAAAATTAAGAAAAGACAGTCAGACGGATGAACGAACAGACAACAGTGGAAATTTATAAGTCAAAATTTTTTTCAAATTGCAGCCCAAAAATCTGAATTGAAAATGATCATTAAATCAGAACATCACCTGATTGTCTGGGAAATCATGGAAAGATTGAACGTAATAGACATTATGCAATCATTTCTCAACATCTAAACATATCAGGGAAAGTCAAGAAGCTCGACAAATGGCTACCCCACAAACTCAGTGAAAGAGATAAAGAGCATCATTGGGAGGTCTGTAGTTCTTTAATTATTTGTCACAAAAATGGTAGTATTCAAGTAAAATTCTTCCCCATCCACCTTATTCTCCTCCAGACTTTTTGCCAACAGACTATCACTTTTTTTTTTATACATTTGGACAGTTTTTTGGCAAGGAAAGTCTTCGAGGAGGATTCAATAAAAAGTACAGTACCTAAAATGACTTTTTGGCTTTTTATTCTCATGATTTCTACCAAATTGGCATTAATGCATTTCTGTTGCATTGGAAAACGTGTATTAATGTTGGTGGAGACAATTTTGATTGAATATGTAAGTTTTAAATTAAATTAATAAACTTTCAAAGTCAAAAGTAAAAATAGCCATTTCATTTGCAACAATCTAATGTAAAAAAAATTTTGATAACTATTTTTATATATTAATGAGATATATTTCTTACATCTCATTTATTAAAAATGAAGCCACAAGATCTTAACTATATCATAATCCTAAATTAATCAATCAATCTGCTTAAAAACAAACCATTTTATAAGTCTTCAACTATATAAATGATATTTAATTTGTATATAATGTTTAGATTCTAAAATTTCACCAATTGAAATAATTTTCCAACAAGTAAATATTTTAATATACTCAATAAGCAGAGCAATAATTTACACTAATAACAATTGTTATAATAGTTCTACAGAACTCAAAAGAAGCACTCAAAATAGAGAAGAATGGAAGAAAAACTTTATGTTTTAAGGATCTGCTACTACAAGCAGAAACCAAAGAATATAGTTTTACATTCTTAATCAATATATTAATTTGTAGAGATTAATATAATTGTATAAATTGAATAATTCTATACTTTTCACAATTAGAAACTACAATAAATATCTTTATATCTTGTCCTTTTTCAACACCTCAGGAACACAAGTGTTTATGGGAGTCAACCTTTAATTTGGGGCTACTCATTTGCCTCAATATGTAAAAAATGTTTAAAAAAGTCAGGGATATGACAATATATATATATATTGTATACATTGGTAATTTTAATTCTAATAGTCAGAATCTCTCATATACTTTTCAATACATTTGTTTTCCAGTATTAATCTTTCAATGTAATAATAAATAAAAAATGTTAACCAATCAAATTAAAAAAATAAAAATAAACAAAATATCTGCTTGAATTTGTTTTAGATTGTCATCAAACAAATAGTTAAATTTTTATAAAATTCTGATTTATAAAATTTGGTAATTACCTTCATCACAAGATATTAGATACTTTCCATTATTACTATAGTCCATATCAAGGATATTCCCACTGTGGCCTTTTAATGTTGTTATTAGCCATGGATGTGTAAATTGAGCTTTAACTTCTTTATGCTTATCTATAATATTTTTCTTTTTCTTTATATTCTTTCCTTTATCTTTTTTCTCTAATTCCTGATTACAGTCTGTAAAATAAACTATTGATATAAAATTTGAAAATGACAAATTTGAAAAATTCCACATAAAAATGGTTTAGGGAGTATGTATATATAAAAAGCAAAGTTATACTGCTTTATGTTTTTTAGAAACTTAATAAAATTTTAATCAGACATTTTTTCAGTCCTTTTTTTGGATCAGCATCAGATTCCAAAATAATGCTTGGAACAGAACAGAAAAAAAATGAAATTACTTTATATTTAGTATAAAAAACAAAAATATATTTAACAAACTATTATTAAAAAACTAGGTAGTATAAAGATCATTTGGAAGGGATCAAGACATGAATAAAAATCCAATTTGTTATATACAGTAAAACCTCATTAATTTGAAGTTTAAGGAGTAAAAAGCAAATCCTGACTTCAAGTTAATGAGTTTAATACCCAATTTTTACAAATTTTTCTGTGGTTGAAAATTTCCCATTATCAAGCCATTTCTCAAGAATCTGTTTACAGAATGATTACATAATTTTATACAGTTTATGGCCTTTTGAAAGTGATGTGAAGGTGCTCCCTTATATCCTGATCAGAACACCAATGACATACAGAATCAGTAAAAAGATGTTGACAAAGGGTTGTAATAGCATAGTATTGTGTTTTCTCAATGGAGCCATAATATTTGTTTACCTTAATTTCTATATTCACACATAATATAAGAGAAAATGAAGATCACAAAGTTATCAAAAGGCAGAGGGTACAAGGAAAAGTAAGTTCAAGTTAGAAGTACTGGCAATTTTGACTTAACAAAACCTATTATACAGAAAACCCTATGTGCTGTGCATGAAACCTGTTAACAACTTTGAGTTAACAAGACTTCAAATTAACACAGTTTGATTTAGCAAAGTTTTACTGTATACTTTACTATTTATGATACAAAAGTTAAAAAAATTTCATTTTTTTGAGGACAATAACAACTAGGGATTGTATACCGGTTTACCGATTTACCGGTTAACCGATAAATTGACAAAAAAACATTCGGTAAACTTACCGGTAAATTTCAAAAATTTACCGGTAATTCGGTAAACGAAAAATCCACACTAGAAATTTTTATGTAGAAAATATTGTATTTATAGATATTTAAAAGGGCTAAAGGAACATTGAAAATAAAAAAAAAAACAGGTAAGTGTAAGCAACAATATACCTAATCATTAATTTTATGTGAGATATTTTTTGTTTAATTTTAATTTAAACTTTCTTGTGTTTGAGAGGCGCTGTAAATTGTACAGAAAGCTCTAGTTAGCTTATGTGATTTGTGCTTTGCAGTTTTTTGAGATTTTTAAAGGTTTAAAATCTTTACAATCAACGTTTTTTTAAAGTGTAAGTAATATATGTCTCCTTTTCTAATATTTAAAAATAATAATACGTAAATATTTCACACGTATTTTTTAAATTAATAGCAATTTAGAATACACCACATTATGACAGGACATTAATGCAATATTATTGTAAAATAACATTAAAATTTGAACCTTAAATAAATTTTTTACTTCTAACAACTGTTTAAAATAATTAAATACAAATATTTACTACAAGATTCTAATACTATGCCTTAAGATTGCGCAAAATATGTATTATTATAACCCTATTTTTGGGGGGGAATCCTCATTACTCTCACGAAAAGAACTTTCTTTAATTTTAGATTGTAAAACCAGGTGGAATAGCTTACCAAACATGCTGGAAAGATTTTTATTACTTAAAGATGCTGTCCGAAAAAGTCTAGAAACCTAACCTAACCTGGATTATTTTGTACAAAAATTAGATCAAAATTAGGAGATAAGACTTTAAATAATTTAAGTTTCTTGAGAAGTTATTTTTTAAAAAATGGTAATCAATAAAATGGTATTAGGTACTATATATTATTTCTGTTTTATTTTTATTTTTCTGTATTATTTTATTTATGTTTCTAAAAGTTATTATTATAGTTTGTTTAGAATAACACTTTAATTTTTATATTTTTTATATTCTATACCTTTGAAATAGAAAATGTGAAATGGAAATCAAAATTACTTATATTTTTTATCACCTTAATTTTATTTTTCAGGAAAAAAATTTACCGGTAATTTACCGGTAAACCGGTATTTTAATTTTCATTTACCGAATTACCGGTAAATGAAAAAGTCGGTAAATTTACAATCCCTAATAACAACAATCTAAATTATAAAATCAATATTCATAGAGATTGTAATTAAATAGTCTTATTCAAAGTTATCTGCAGAGACATCTAGTGATTGAAACTCAAACTTAGAACACTCCTCAAAACATATTGAAGTGATTTATGTGAGGATAAATGCTCAAAAAATTTTTATACTAAAAGCAGAGAAAAAGTATAATAAATACAACACAACTTCCATAAAAGATTTATGGGTATAAAGAAAGACAAGTTATTTTGTGTTATATTTTTGGATAGTGAAAGCACAAGTGGCTTTCAAGTTATCTAAATGTGCTTTGTTTTGATAATAAAGCTTCATAAGCAATAGTAACATTTGTGCTCTGAACTGGAAATTCCAATGATAAGAGCAATTTTGTAAAGGTCTTTGACATTATATACCCTTAGGAAAATGAATGAATGATTTGAAAAAATTGAATGTTTAAGGAAGAGACCATGAAAAAAGTATAAACTGAACTGTTCATTAAAGGTTGAAGATGTTTCGTTTGCTATCATTGAGTAATCCAACATAACAAGTTCTAACACTACATGTACATTGTTGGATTTTATGTTATTTTATAAGGATAAAAATGCAATAATTTTTGTATTATCATCATTATAAAACAATTCTTTTGTAATTCACGATTATCAACAACTAAATATGTTAGCCCATCAGATGTGTTCCACGATTAGTGGAAAAATTGCATATCTACTCTCTAAATATAAAATAATTAGCTTAAAATTGTAACATGTTTTCTGTCACAAAAATAAAAGAGGAGAAATAATAAAACCAGAAACTGATAAATCATTATGAAAGTATAAAACAAATTGGCATTAGTCGTGTTTTACAAGCTTTTAGTCATCTTTAGTAAGTGAAAAAAAAAAACTATTTTTAGCATCATTTTGAGAAATTATTCTTTTTTTCCCCCTGCCTTTTTTTTTTACCTTTATACATTATTCCATTTTTTATAGTCTTCAATATACAAAGCTATCCATCTACCAAAGCCGTATATTATTGGGCTAGAAACAGCTATAATACTATCAATTTAATATATTTTATAGCCATTTTTAGCCCTATAATATACAGCTTTGGTAGATGGATAGCTTTAATCATATTGGGTACGTAAAGACGTTTGATTATCAATATAGCAAATTAGCAGATTTCGAGGGCTATACCTCGTGAAGTGTCAAACATACAACATCGGTTCCTCTGGAGTTTTTTCTCCTACAGGTAGGGTCGACAGCTCCGATAAGATCCCAACCATTTCATTCAGAGCTACTCATACCAGTGACTTTAATGATGATCATTCCACATACGGTTTACATTTACTTATTTCTACAATTAATATAAAGCATTGGTAAACGTCTATCCTTTATACATGGGGAGTTTTTTTACCAAAGACATTTACCAAATTTTCTTTCGAATTATGTTTATAGTTATTACTTTAGTTTCATTTGCATTATTCTATCTTACGTACGAAAACGTCATAAGAACGTCATACGAAAACGTCATAAGAACGATTTATTTAAATTTAAATTTAAAATATAAATAATTTAAGTAAATTTTTACATTTTTTTCACTCCTCGTTGTGCTGAATTCGAAATTATAAACAAAAATTTAAACTTATTCGACACTTTCTAGCTCTAGAACATATACTTACCATCCGAAGATTTCGAATTCTCGTCTTCATTTTTATTATTATTAATAAAANTCCTAATCCTTAGGAGCTTAATCTGAGATTTGTCACTTTATCTCCATAATGCAATAACTTGTGAGAAAGAGTTACTTTCAAAGTGATAAATTATGTATTATTTTTGGTATTCGGATGTATTTTGGTACTCCGTAATCATCAGTTAAATAAGTTTTATGATGATTATTTTAGGTTTGGTTTTTTGTTTTAAGATTAAGTCTATTGAGTTATTTTTCTGGTTATTAAAATCTGTTTTATACTGCACTTTTGAAAGCTATTTAGGTTTCAATTAAGTAAATGTTATGATTAAATTAGCAAAGCATTGTAAATAGCCCGTAGCCATAAATGACATGAGATATTGTATCCACCCCGTGAGTCTTTTAGAGCAAGCCCATTATAGATTAGGCCAGGCCCACAATGGCGCGACCGAATGGTGAGGGACGGACCTCCTTCCGAAAAATTCTTGGGGTTTTTCGACTTGTCTGAATTCGTTTCGGATCTTCCGAAGCAATAGGCTGTCACCATAACCGCTCGGCCATCCGACCGTTACATTATGAACTAGATTAATAAATAAGGGAAGCAAACTGAAAAATATTGTGTATGCCTATAAATAAGCCTGGTATTACTAAGACTGCTTATAAGAACACCCTCAACTTTATCATTTTAGATTGGTGATTTGCTTTTGCTTTAGATTGGTGAATGATTATTATGAAAAACAGAGTCTGTTCATAGAATAATCATTCGCAATAAGTTTAGAAATGTGGGCATTTCTAAACTTATTGCGAATGATTATTATGAACAGACTCTGTTTTTAAAAATAAGTTTACACTATCTGATAACGCATGGGACTAGGTTAGAACCACAGTAAAAAATTAAAACGTAAATACGATACAAAGAGAAAGTTGTGACGAATGACTGGTATTTTTGTACATTCCAGCCAGTACGATTAGCTATAGTATACGTGCAAAAAAAAAACAAAAATAACGTAGCAGTATCCAAAAAAATTACATAATGAAAGTGAAAACTATATTATATATGCTGTGTACATGCACTGTTGTCTAAACAAAGGCTATTATATTTTTAGGGGGCTTAGATACTTCATAGCCCCTAGCTATGGCACTAATTGTAAACAATCGAAATATGTCTGTAATTGTTATTACTATGTTATTTAGCCATAACACATTAAATGAAATTTATTGATTGATTTGTCAATGCAAGACACCAGCACATAAACATTACATGAACGGCTACAATTTCGTCCATTGTGGAGATTTGATTCTCAATGAGGGCCGACAGAGTCGGTAGATTAACTGGTCTTTCGACTAATAGTTCAAACTTAGCTAGAGACAATATTTGCCGCTAGTCGGCGCCACTGTTAGCAGGCGATCGTTGTTCTTGCTAGGTATATACTGAAGTCAGTGATTTTGACCTATAATAATTGTTTTTNTATATATCTTTCAATAAAAAGAAAACATTCGACCTCACAGGGATTCGATCTAGCGGTCTTGTAGTGATTGCAGTGCCCCTGGTGGTAACATTTGTCTCTAGTTGATTCTAGCAACGAGCGAAGATAGGAAGTCGAAAGACCAGTTAATCTACCGACTCTGGGGCCGACCAGTCTAAGTGAGGAATATAGAAAGACCCGTGTTACCATGAAAAATTATGAGTCTGAAAATATCTAAAAAATTATTTACATAAGTATTTCATTCTTAAGAAATTAATACTTGGTGTATCAAAAATTAACTTTTTCTAAACTTTTTCAGAATGATAATGCAGGAAATTATGTAAATGTTTTGACAGTTACAAGGCTCCGTGTCACGCTGGCATTGTTGCACGTCTCCAGCTAACGAGCCCCCAGGCAGCTTTCTTGAGATCAAAGACGCCTGCGAATGGACTCCAGAAGATGTGCCGTTATGTGGAAGAGGGAGAAGAATTTTTTGAGTTCTAACGTCACTGGAAATGAAATATGGGTTTATAATTTCAAACCTGAAACCGAGGAGGAAACCATAAAATGGAAGTATTCGGCATCTTTGTCAACAGAAGGTTCAAAACATCAGTTAATGCTGGAAAAATTTTGGCGACTGTCTTCTGGTATTTTTTATGGGCATCTGCAAGTGGAGTTCTCATAAAAGTGGATGACAATTTTTTTTTTTTTTTTTGACGTGCATACGTCTGTAGGGCAGAGGGCGCCACCGCTTAACCTTTCCCCTCTGACCTCACTTCATCCTCGGACGCCGAATAGGAAAGAAGCTCTGGTTACGCCGACCTTTCGCTTTTGTTTCACCAATCTCTCGAAATCAACTCCGCCAACGGACGCGCATTTGTATAGTAATTTAACTTAGAAACGTTTGTAAATATTCCATAGTCACGGGAATAAAATAAGGTATTCCGTCGGAATCAGTGTCTTCCTTGATCTTGACCGATGAACAAAGGACGTAGGACACGTGGTCAAGCCGAAGCTATTGCCATACGAGGTAGGATCAAATTCGGACCAATTCTATCGAAACGCTTCGACGGATTTTAGCACCATCGCTAAACGTCTTTAAATTTCCTTCCGTAGTGGGAGGCAATTCAGAAACTGATGATAACAAAATTGGGGGATAAAGTTTAGCGTTGCAGCTACATATCTATCATCTACATCCAAAATTTAATTACACCACTCGATATTTAAAGGATCAATGAATTCATTGCGTTGAGTGGAGACTATGACGCATCGCGCGCGGCGGAGGGGAAGCGCCGCCATTTTGAGGCCGTTTCGCCGCGTCACATACTTTCCATTTAGTATGCATTTTGATTCGGAGAAGCTATGACGCTCGTTTGAGTTTCAATTTACAGCTCTTGTCAATATTTATCGATACACAAAACATTAGTGTGGAATAGTTATGGTGAATATATATGGTGTTAAAGTTAAAAAACATAATACAATGTCGGCCTGTACTCGTCGAAAAGCCAAATAAAAATATAGAAATCGTATACGGTTGGAAAGGGCTTCTCAAGAGCAATCCAGTGAATACCCATAAAACACCATATGACAGTGAAGCAGTGCTGGGAATGTAAAAAAACATGGAGATTCGAAGGACTTCTTACTGTTAAAGAACGATTATGACATACAGTAAAAACTGCTTAGGCGACCACCTGCATTCGACGGGCACCTGTCAAAACGGGCAAAAATTTCTGGCACGGAATAGTTTATCCATAGAGTCTTCGTATAAGTTACCTGTATTAAACGACCACCTGTGTAACGCGACCGCGGGCATCGATTTTTGGTCCGAAACAACACACAACACCTGTAATAAGCGACCACTTTTGCGAATGTATCTGGTCTAAACTATTGTAAGAACCCATCTCAACAACGTTTCCACCTCCTAATATAATGGATTAGTCTAAACTCCCGTTCGAACCCATCCCGGGCACTTTTCCTATCCTTGAAATTAGGTGCAGGTGTTAATAAATTAGTCTAGCAACAAAGGAAATTCATTTCAGTTTGTTGGAAAATGTCCGAAAAACGAAAGAAATGCAAAGTGCTGTCGTTAGAAGATCGTATTAAAGTTATCACAACAGCAATTAGCGGCAAAGTTTAACTGTGGGAAACGAAATTTATTTTACCGTAGACCTACAGTATTTTCCTTGGGGGTATAAAATATTGTATACTATACAATTATCTATTTATTTATTTCGAAGCTCATGTACAGTACATGTGCGATAAATAGTTTCTATATCAACCTACCTTATTTCCCCGATATTTTAAGGAAAATAATATCCAAGTCATTTTCGCACGTAAAATATTCAAAAAACAATAAACGCATTAATGCAAAACTCAGTTTTACAGGCAACCTTCCTTTTTTGATTCCGCAATGACAATCGCAGAATGTAATGAAATCGTACAATGAGAAAAAATAATAAAATCGTTTTATTATTATTTAATAATTTTTCTTATTGCACTTAAAATATTAAATATTAAAAAATACAGTCTTTTTAAAGTTAAAACAAGATTAAACTAGCGAATACCAAAACCAAAGTGATGTAGAAATACAACGCGTTTGTATATCGATGACGTAATGCACGTAACTGAGGAGCGAACGAAAACAACAGAGTCGAATTAATTAAGCCGGAAAAAAGAAAGTGTGCATTATAATCGAGAAAATGCGACTATTGTATTAATCTTTAAAATATTGGTATTAAATCTGTCTTATAAAATCACGACGACTCCTGTAAATCAAGTTACAGTATCCGATAAGAATAAAATACAATACCAATATAGCCCTGTCGTTGAAAAAATTCCCTTTTATTTGCTCACCTCGAGTTTTTCTTAGTAGAAATGGCTAAAAAGTGCGCAAAATATGTACGGAAATACAGTATTACAGCACCACCTGTATTGGACGATCACCTGTCTAAAAGACCATTTTTTGAAGGAACCGTGGGTGGTCGCCATAGACAGGTTTTACTGTACATATAATACTCTCAAAGAAAATATTACCCGTTAACTTACACGTATTCACGTAAAACACATGGCCGTGTCCCCAACACAGCCACACCCCACTTTTTTGTAAACTCTACCTTAAGAATACTGTGAAGGTTTTTAAAATCATAACCATTATAGTGGGTTCCACCAGATCACATGAGACGGCCAGATACTGTATATAGTGCGAGACGAACTATCCGCAACAAATTTTTAGCGTTTTACGATCACTCCGATTCGATCATGGGTTTCGATACATGTTTAAAAATATTCTTAGTTACACTTTCTATCAATTTTT